TTCTCTGTAAGTGGGAAAACTTGAAAAATCGGCAGTGTATCAAATACTTATTTGCTCGACTGTATAAAATGGTTTTACAGAAAGCATTAATTAGCCATAGATACTGAAAAAAAAACATGAAGGTATAATGAGCTAGCCTGTGCACTGGTCTGAGTGCTGCAGTATGTCACTGCTGGTGCTTTGAGTGGTTGCCAGGACATCTGTGCAACTGGCTTAGACCAGCTGGGCTCCACATTTTCCCTCATGTTGATTACTCTGTCCCAAATAGAAGTTTAAGAAAGGAGTGAACTTATGTGTCATTGCTGTGTCTGCTTGTATGTTGATTACTTATCAGTCAGTTTGTAGAGCTCAACAGCAGATCATTCAACTCACTCCTACCATCCACCCACCTTCCCCCAACCAGGACCCACTAAGTATGGAGTGGCGGCTCCACAACCCAGAGCCGGTGACAGTTCCCTACCTGAGCCCTCTGGTGCTGTGGAAGGAGCTGGAGAGTCTGCTGGAGAATGAGGGTGACGCAGTTATCGCAGAGGCCGACATGGTGGACCATCATCCCATCATCTACTGGAACCTGGTCTGGTACTTCAGACGGCTGGACCTGCCCAGCAGCCTGCCTGGTCTCATTCTCACCTCTGAGCACTGTAACAGAGGCTCCCAGGTCAGACACACAGGCACATGGTAGTCTTACTGTAGTTAAGAAGACACTCTCTGGCATAACATTTCCCTGCCCCTTGCCCTAACCATCACAATTAAATGCCTGTCCCCTTACCTAAACCAGATGTTATCCTTAACCCAAAAACTACAGGTGAATCCCAGTTCCTCTAATTTCCCTCACTTGTGTTTTCCTTCCGTCTAAAGTCACATAAGATGTGAGGAAAAAATGCAAGGATAAACTGCAAGGACAGAGGAACTGAGGAAACATGTTTTAATAGACATTGTTTATTGTTTACAATAAATGAGATGTCTTTTATTCAGATTCTTCATGTGAAGCTTCCAATCAGAAACTGATTTCTGACCAAGGGGCATGTCAATCCCTAACAGACTTCCATGAAGGGTGCACTAATATATCCTTGTTAAAGCTCCTCCGGGTAGCCTCCTCGATCCACTGCCTGAATGAGTCACAGAATCATTTGATTAAATTATTGGATTTATTTATTTATTGTTATTGCTGTGACAACAAGAATTTTGACATGGCAGGCCACTGTGGAGAAATGGTACCAGCAGAAACACTGCAGTGATGTTACTTATAAAATACTTTAAAAATCTCCAGTGCCATCCTTCGAGACCTCCAATGTTATATAACATTCATATGTTGACCTTAAATATTTTGTAATTAGTTAAGCCCTCTGTCCATTTTCTATTGCTTATCCAGGTCCAAGTCGTATGTAATTATTAATATTATTTGGAATGGTTATCATCTAGTGCTGAAAACTACTAACAAAAATGTCAGTGAATCTCTACTGGTTTTCAGTGATATCTTTTGTACTTTGGTTGGAATAACTGTGAAACATACAGTATATTAAAGTGCTTTCTGTGTGTTATTAAAAAGGTCTTAAAAGTATTTTAACTTGGTGAACCCTGCAGAGAGCCAGTTAATTCTAATTACATTACAGTACGTGATTTGTGGAGGTTAAATTAAGTGAATCAGAAGTGTTTATGGGGGACACAGACAACAATGGAAATGGATATTTTGTCTGTAAATGACACATCTGTCAGACTGACTGGCAGTGCCTCTCTCTCTCCCTCCCTCTCTCTCTCACATCAGATCCCTCGTGACTGGATGTCAGAGGACAGTAAACATGTACTGATCCAGATCCTGTGGGACAACCTGAAGCTGCACCAGGACCCAATCCAGCCCCTCTACATCCTGTGGAACACGTACAGTAAGTAACACTTCTCTCTGTGTGTGTGTGTGTGTGTGTGTGTGTGTGTGTGTGTGTGTGTGTGTGTCTGCAGAACAGTCCAATCAGAAATTCATCAGGTAATTTACTCAACCATTATGAGTACTCATGGCCGACAGGAAGGTTTTCTCAAAAACAGCTTCAACACTAGAAAATGAAAAGCAAGGTGGACAGTTTGGTGTGTGGATACAGGAGAGGCTATGTGTTTACTATTCGCACATAAAAAAAATGTGGAAAAGGCGACAGTTTTAAAAACAGGAAAGAAATATCTCAAACAAGTTTTAATGCTTGGTGGATGCTGAAAAGTTGGTCTACAGACAAAAGCAAAATGCGACAAAGTACAATGGAAACGGACGATGAACAAATCATGACGTATATGAAGCATGCGTCTTAAAAGTTCACTGAAGAGATGAAAATATCAGATCAGTGTCAATGAGACGTCTTCAAATCAATACTTGATACAAAGATCAATGTAGTATATCACATTTCCTACAGTGTTTCAGTGTTTGTTTTCTTCTGTAATGGTTTAATGGCACCTGGCTGGAGAGTTAGTGCCATAATGTGATTGTTGTTTTTCATATTGTCTATTTTATTGATATTTTTGGATTAAAATAAGACCAAGTTTAAAAATATATATTTTTCAGGTTTAGGTGTAAAATGTAAAACCACATTCATAAACACATTTATTTAGTCATAGTAAAAAAAAATCTGTAATGTATTCAGGCTACTCCACTGTTTTCAATATGATATTAGAATTGCCTCAATCTAACAACTGCACAGCAGCTGGATGTTGATCACTGTAAATGAACGTGACTCTTGTGCTAACATCTCTGTTGCTTCACTCTGTCTGTAATAATCGAACGTTTAATGGAGGAGGAGGTGTGGAAGCAGAAAGCTCCTCCTGGGAGGCTACTAATCCTTGTGCTAACAGGCTCTGTCTGCTCTCTGTCTTCCAGGGCTTAATTGTACTCTGTTATTAGAGAGTGAGTGTTCAACTCTGCTGCAGACTCCCACAGATGAGTCCTGTTGTTTGTGCTCTAATTGTCCTGTCTGAGGCCTGCTGTGTCTCTGTGTTGTATGTTTTTTGCTTGCAGTGTCATCTATGGAAAGTCAGCCTCTACTTTTCATGGTTTCATGTTTGGTGAAACCATGAAAGTGTTTTGTGAACAAATGTGTTTCCAATACAGTCCTATATTTGAATGTAGGTTTGCATCTTTGGATGTCCACTGTGTTCCTCCACTTACTAACATAAACATAAAAAGTTTTTATGTACAGTAGCAACTTTTAGTTCTTTAATTTATAATTAAAGAGTAAATTTTTTCATTTTCTCTATGATGCTTGGCAGGTATAAAAGTTTCAGCATGCCTGCAAATATTTAAGATTGTTTTTATAAGCGTTGTATTAGCAATTAATCTGACTTCTTATTTAATTAAACCTGAAGGAGAACCTGCACTGCTTACAAATACAATAGTGTTACAAACCATTTATTAAGTACTTATAGGTTGCTTATAAATGCTAAATGTAGGGTTAAAAGGGTTGGTTTTCTTTTATTGCCAAATAAAATGTTTGTTCATAAGGTAACATTTTATTCTGTTAAAATGACTGAAAATACATAATCATTTTATTTTAATATTTTAAGTATTTTTGATTAAATTAATTCAGTATTATAAATAAGCACACACCGAGCTTCATGCTCTATAATCTAATAAAGTACTGTTTTTTGGAATATTGGTACTTTTACTAGATCTTAGGCATAAAACGAAGTACTGCTGTATACCGATGCAGATATCCAGCCCCAAGTACTTTTTACTTTTAAAGTGAAAACCTGTTCTTGTTGAGATAATGATAAAACCATCTTCATATTGCATTACTGTTGCACTTCTTGAGCACAAATATGAGTCCATAGCTGAGCTGTGTGTGTTTGGGTAGATGTGGGTTACCCTGTGTCCCGGCCGGTCCTGAAGGAGGAGAAGCCGTTCAGTGAGGAGATACTGCAGAGTGTGGTGAAGAGCATCCAGAGGAACGATGTCAGTCGGCCCATGGCTCAGTTGTTGCAGCTTATGGGCCAGACCCTCGGGGTCAAAAGGCAAAGGTTAGCAGTGACTTAAGGCTTACTGAAGAACTGAATTTCAGAGTCATCACCACTGGAAACACCTCTGTAGAGATTCTTGCATGTGTAAATGAATATATAAACTCTCACATCGTGCAGAGCAGGGAGTTTCTGGGGCTGAGTGAACCACTCATACCAGTCATTAATGTGTGGACTTATAAAGTGATATTTCTCCTGAAATACTGTATGTTGGAGGATAAAACTCTCATCCCCTTGAAATGTGTATGTAGAAAATCTATGTGTATAAACCTTTCAAACCAGTCATACATGTTTCTGACCACACAATTAATTTACACCATTTACATCCAGCACCACAGAGAGCTTGGCTACAGTCACATTCTTTATAAAAGTGCCTTCAATGCCTGGAATAAATTTTGGCTAGTAGATCCAACTACATGTATAATCATAATGGTCCACATATTTTTCGCAATATATAGCCTAATACACTTATTAGATTTATCAAATGTCATTGCATCATAAGCGTAAAGACAAATTTAGTTTCTTTAAAGAAAGGAATGATAAGCTCAGGTTTAGTCACACAGTTTCTCTCATGCTGTCAAAAAAAGTCACTAAGCTGCTGTGCAGTGTCCTGTTTGTTGACCTCCACTTGTTTCTTGTCAGGAGTTTGTACAGAGACATCCTCTTCCTCTCCCTGGTGGCTCTGGGAAAAGATAACATCGATATTGGTGAGTACTAATTTTATGTTTTAGTGGTTACACGTCATATTGATGCGTATTCTTGTGTGAAAGGAGATTTTCCTGAGACCCTACAGATGCATACTGTTACCAAAGAGTATAGAAGTCAAGAGGCGACACTGTGGTGCTTTTTGATAACATCTGCTAGATGATGCAGTGGTAGCGCGGCTGCCATTTTGGACTGAAAATACCAATGGAAGCAATGCAAACCCTACAGACCTCTTTCAAATGTACTCACAACGTGTACACAATCAGAACCAAGGCCCTTTTTGGTTGGTCCCCTTTCTGGCCCACTTTAAAGAGGACTGAGTTCAGTTCATTTAAAAGGGACCACATGTGAAAATTCCCTAAAACACTACAGACAGCTGCACAGGAATGTAAAACAGCTGACTCTAGGTGGATTTGTTAATACAAGTCATTTGATGTATTGACATGGGAAAAGCTTAGAGCAGCTTTAAATAATAGAAATAGTAAAACGAGAAAAAGGCTTCACCCACTTTTTTTTTTTGCATTGTAACGATGCTGAAGTCTTCTTCTTCCCTCAGATGCCTTTGATCGTGAATACAAGTCAGCATACAACCGCCTCATGCCGAGCTTGGTGAAGCTGACCCTTAACTGTGACCGTCCTCCCAGCGCGGGGGTCATGGAGTGTCGCAGGACATTTGGAGAGCCTTACCTGTAAACACTTACCATCCACGTCATTGCTTTAAGACAAGCTCAGGAAACCTGTTGGAAGACTGTGAATATGCACCACAGTAGTGTTGTAAGGAACCTCTGCAAGTAAGTGATCAAAAAGGTATGGTTGACTGTGGTCAGCGTTATGTAGCCTGAAACAACAAGAAACACTTTTACAAACTCTCATCCTCTTGATGACGGAAGCACCATTCATCAGCACCACTTCACCCAGCACTGTTGAGTGACACGCACCTGGTTTCTTTGGAAATCCTGTGAAAATTATATACTGTCAATACACAGCAGTAGAAGATTTTTTTAAATGTAACATTTATATTGTATAGTCATCAGGATATGAAGACTAATAGTAGCAATATTTTAACTTGAAGTCTATTTATACAAAGTCAGTGTTATTTATTGTAGTGTCTTCTTTTTGTTGGGCATAGTGTTTTATTGCGTCCTGTGGATATTGGGTGGTGTTTCACAGCTTAGTCCAGTACAACCTGAACATCCACTTGCTGTAAATAGGGACTGGGTTTCTGTGCTTTGTGAGTGGACATCAGGAAAACAAAGCATTTAAATTAGTGTTGCAATGAATAGTGAATCCACAACTATTTTGGTAAATGATTAATAATTAGTTATTTTTTAAGCAAAAATGTCAAACATTCTCTGGTTCCATGGATAGTGTTTAATAGCATCTGAATCAAACCCGAATCCAGTTGTATGTACAAATCCTTGATCCAATCGGGTTAATTCATGTATTAGTCTAAAAAAAAGTTTACATTTAAGAATCTAGCTTCTTCTAACAGCATTAGCAATGTATTGACACTGAGCGATAGAAACTATAGGAATGTACTCTCAAACCTAAACCATGGACATTTTGCTGTGTTTAAAGGTTGTGGGGCTTTCACCACAATTTTAAAACTGCTCTGGGACTTGATTTATTTACTTTATTAACCATCCTTTCGGTTTTCCTTTTGCTGCACTTGCAGAAGCCCTAGTTACTAAAGGAAAAACATTACAGATAAAATTTTTATTCTACATCATCTTGTGAATATCGGTTAAATGAATCGGTGATGTTTTGCATGCACTTAAAGCTACCTGAAAGTAAACTTGATGCACTGCTACATGTCACAGAATGTGATGGGTCACAGAATACGGTGGAACACTAGTGGCCAGAGAACTTGTCAGAAATAATAGTTCTTACTTGAACATGTTGGAAGGCAGATTAAAATACAGCATAAGTTACCTGTGCATCTTCTCCCACTGTCAAGGTGCACAAACACAGGAAAATAAACTGGAAAGCAAAAAGTGTGGCAACACTTGCAGTGTTCCCAGCAACTTCAGTGCAAAGATAAAAGAACAATGCATTTGGTCATAAAGTCTTCATCAGGGTGGAGGTGCTGAAACCACACCCAATCTTGGAAAGGTTGTCAGCCCAGTGTTGACAACTTAGCAGATTTCTTGTTATAGCGACTTTTGAGACCCCTTTAGCGATTTCTTTTTTTTCCTCAAAACGGAAACTAGCCACAAATCTAGCGACTTGCTGGGCAGAATCTAGCTACTTTCTCCAGGGGAGAGTCATAAGGACTGCCCATTAGGGTGCAGTGTTACTTTCCGAATGCAGTAATGCCCCTCTCAGCTTCTACTCTGTTCAGTGAGTGAGAATAAGGGGCGGCACATTCAGTTGACCAGACTGCTGCCGGCAGAGACCTGAATGAGCTCTGCCTGTAGGAGATGGAGCAGTTCTGGCATCCAGGAAACATGCATTTGCTGAATGAAGTGACAGCTAGCTAGCAAATTATAGCTGTAGGAACACATGAACAAATCACTCTAGTTTTTATAATGTTATAGTGTTAAGGGAGGGGTCATGCTAAGTATGGCTCCAGTGCATCATTGACATCATTGAGCCATGCTTTCTGCCCTGCCCAAAAATTCCTGAACACAGACACGATAAACAGTTTAATGGTCTCCATTATTCAGTACTAAATAGCTCACAGTCTTTATACGTTTTTAGCAACTATTTTCTAAGATGTAAAATATCTTTAGTAACAAATAGTTGATTTTCCTTTGCACATACTTTAATCAGTCTGGATATTTTACCAACTTGGAGCTGGATCCAAAATGGAACTGGCAATCAGAACCCATCTGTATTCAACTGTGAGGATTAGTAGTTTAAATGGTTAAACAATTAACCAGTAAAGAAAACAGCAGACTAAACAGTAATGAACATAAATGCTAGTTGCAGTCCTTTAAATGCGTAAAACCAATTTTTAAACTGCCTTTAATGTTGGTCTAGAAGCCGCAGCTAAACATGTTGTGGGGCCAGAGTAGTGCTCAATATTTAACACTTTATTTTAATATAAATCTTAAAAGCAGTATTGTTTTTTCTTTGTTTGTTTACATTTTTTTAACTTAACATATTCCATCATCACCATAAGAACAGTAACTTCTTTCAGTTTTCTTCAGTGGAACTCTCCACTCTTTGTTAAAAAAACAAACGTGTTACCGTTCATCATGTTTGTACTAAACATGCTGTTGGGGTCAAGAAAAACTCCTGTAGTTTACATTTTATTTCTATGGTTTTACCTAAGTTTAGAAATGAATTTAAGGTTGTGAGAAAGTTTATTACTGTATGAACAGTTTGTCCTAAATCCACCAAAGCTGCTCCGGGGGAGAAACAAAAGTCACTTTTCTGTCGGTGCTGATGAACAAAACTTTCAGCTGATAAATGTGTTTTGGTGGAATATTTGAGTTTACACTTTACAGTTTTTTTTACAAAAGCTTGTTGCATTTTGTTACTTAAACTGTAGCCCCTTCAGGCTATAGTTTGTGTTGAGCTTACCTGCAGTTTACGGTGTTACATGATCACTTAAGCCCGATTGTCTTGAGAAGCTGTGTTGTAATCTACACATGTGGTTTAATTTGAACCTGGTCACTGTGCCCTGTGCATCATCTAAACTCCTGCAAAGCAAACAAATGTTACAAAGTGCTTACAGAATTAAAAAAAGAAACTAATACAGATCAAAATAGCCTCTTTCAGCACCATTGTCGAACACCTTAGAAAATAAATAGGTGTCAGTTTCTAGAAGTTTAACTTACCTGCTACAGACCTGGTTTAACTGAAGATCAGCATCAAACCGTTCACTATAAAGACAGATCTACTGGGGCATCTTATTCACTTCTAAAATGTCTTGTACTGATTAGACTTTGTTGAAGGAAACGGTGTAATCAAACGTCAGTCTGATATAAACATATGTAATGGTTTCACCTCTCATTTTATCAGAAACATGGTTACTGATGATTGGACAACAACCACTTTTGAATTAATGCACCCCCACAGTGGCTGAGAGGAGGATGTGGTCACTAATTCTTACTTTGCAGAAACAATCATATACTGCATGTATATGATTAAAATATGCACAATTGATTTAAAAACAGTATCCCTACCAGTGTGCAACATGAGGTTCTGACACACACATGGAATATTATATTCTGTGCACACACACCTGTTTTGGCAACTCAGTTTAGCTGAACCTTGCTCATTTTGACACAGCAATGAGGTCCAGTTTAACATACACATGCATTTTAAACCCTTCAAAGTTCTGACTTACTTCTAAACTACAGGTAAACTAAGCGACAGTACAACACAACTAAACTGTCCAAACATAAGACAAACACATGTATCCAGATGACCCAAATCACTAAGCACACCTGATTTGTTGCTAACTATTCCTCATTGCACAGCCAAGTGTTCTCACACTTGAGCTCTGAGAAAAAACCTTTACCCACTTATTAAGACATACTGTATGTGTGCATAGGTTTTCTTTCGTTAAACCACCCTGCTGCTGTTCTACAACCACAGATTTGAATGTTTACAAAGCCACATTAAGTCTGTGATGGAACTGAACTGACTTATCTCAGAAGCTTTCTATGAGTTCTGAATTATTTTTGTGTCCTGCCACCGTTTGGGGCTCCTGTGATTTTTCTACATTAGAGTTAAGCTTCTTAGAGGTGATTTGTTAGTGCCTTGTTTTTACTGTCAAACATCTGTGAATACATATTTGGAAGTTTGGTTCAAAGCCCATAGTGCAGCGGGCATGTGACAGCTTTCTTAAAATGTTTTCAATATCCCCAAGGTAACATTCAGTTACTCATTTCAGTCAGATGTATAAAAGTCACACACCAGCTTCATCTCCAACCATGTCACATTAAAGCCAAAAAGAGATTCTCACTTCAGTGCCCACTGGAAACACTAATGATGCAGTGATAAATTTAAGCATAGCTTTTTCTTCTTAAAGTGCCCATGGCATGCTCATTTCCAGCCATTTAATGTTTAATCTTGGGCACCTCTAGATTAGCTTTGCACCCATCGTAACACCAAATAGTCTGTAATTATTTCAAATGATAAAACCCAAGAGCCTACGCCTGTAGAGAGCACAGTTCATGAACGCACACAACTCCTGCTGCCAGTGTTGTGTCAAAATCTGTTTCCCCTAACCTGAATCCTAACACAACCAGTGAGGGGGCTGCTACATGAAATGGGTTTTGAGCAGGGAAACATATCTTGATGGGGGGAACACTCTTCCACACAAAACTGGTTAGGAAGCCAGGACAATGCATCAACAAAAAAATAGCAAATTAGCTATGCTTTCGACACTGACAATACCTCAAATTCTACCTGCATTTTACAGGGTGAAAGAGCATCACCCAAGGGTGACTGTAGCATTCTCATTGCACTTTTTCATCAAAGTAACTTTGGTAATTAGATTTTCATGTATTTGGATTCAATTTCACAGGTAGATTCTTAGACAAATTATAAATTAATTCTGGAGGCTATGCTTGGTGATGGTTAAGGGAAGTACAGGGTATACTACTTGTTAGGGTCTAATAGTGGAAACGCAGCATCTCAGGCAAACCCAGAAGCTAGAGTTAAAATCCAGTTCTATGATTATAAGGCTTCAACACATGATACTGGTAATGAGGTATTCTCACGCATCACAGAATTGGCAAAGCCATATCAGTGCTCAGATTCTTGTCCAAACTGTCTTTTCTCTGGATAACATTTAAAAACAATATTGGCACTGAAAACTCTGAGGGAGAGATGATGTGCATTGAGCTGTCTGAAACAAAACTTCTCATAACCTTTACCTCAGTTTCAGTTTGTGCTTTTTTTTTTAATTACAAAATGTAAACCTAGTCAGTATATGCTCTGTACTTTACAGACACCTTCTGATCGGATGGTTTGATGCAGTAGTCACTCTGACGATCTAGCATTTCATATAAGGTCAGGATTGTGCTGTCTGTGGTCACCACCAGTGACACAGTAGATGTGTCTCTGAAAATCTTGGACCACTGTTTTGAACTGACTATCAAAGATTTTGCTGCACATCTTTCACAATTGTCAACTTTTGTCTCAGACTGCCCCAAGTCACATTATAAATGGGCCTTACACAGTCATTGTTGTCACAAAGTCTAAAAGCGCCTTAACGGGATGGACGTTGGTTCTAAGCATGCAATGGATAAATAGTTTTATTTGACATGTACTTCAAGGCTGTGATGTGTTTGTGTGGAGGTATGGAAAGTGAATCAGGACTTTAAAAATGCAAAGCAAAGGCACATGGGGTGTACAGATTTGTTAGGTGTATAACTTGATATTGCACATCTGGTTCTGCATTTTAAAGCTGCGATTTTATTTCCATTAAAGAGAAAGTGAAACATTCATCATGGGTTATTTAAGTTTTGAAGACTGTGAGATTCTGTTAGAGAGGAAAAAAAGCATAGAACTGGATAAGAACTAGTTGGTGTCACAAAATGTGTATGTTAAACACTGACTGGCACAATGGTTAATGGAGATCCTTAAGTTTAAACTACTGAAGGTCTGAGTCAACCATGTGGGAAGTCTGGGTAGAAGGAAAAGTCAGCAAATTGTACTTTGCCCCTCAAAAGTGAACAGACTCCTTTTAGCCTGAGAATCATCAAAATGCTGGGTCCCAGAGAGGACACATCAACTGCAAAGTTGTAGAATTTTGTGTTGAAAAAATGTACAAATGAATGATTTTACTGAATCTGGGCAGTGTAAATTTTAAACCACCCTTTGTAGAAATCACATTTTATAACAGGTACCTTTAGATGTGATTAAGATTCTGTCTAGTGACAAAAGCTACAGGACTGTTTAGCTGTAAATAAAGTCACTCACACTCTCCTTGCTGGCTTCTTTACTGTCTTTGTAGAGCACTAGTGAAGCATTAATCTTTTACTAATCCAAGCTACAGTCATGACTTGGAAAAGCAAGGTGGGTGGGTCCAACCACTGGAAGGATGGCTATGATGAAGTTTGTACAAATATTCAGTACTGTCTGCACAGCATACCTTCTACCAGCCCTGTGCACTATGGAGGAGTGTGTTCTTTAACTGCCACCATCAGGCCAAAGTTTTGGATCTGAGAACAGCAAGTTTGTCTATTTTTCATCCATCCAGCAAAAATGTTGCTATCACAACCTCGGATGGGCCACTAATGCCACATTCACTCCTGTTTTCAAATACTGCACATAGTCCCACTTCACTGTTAAAAAAATAATTTATTGCAACATGGAAATTTAATTTGAAACATTGATAGTTTTCCTATCAATAATACATGCTTGCATCCACTTTCAACATCCAACAAGAGCATTTAACAAGACAGTAACAGCTGACATTTTGACACCTGTCTGATATACATTTATCTGACCCACCCACCACACACACACACACACACACACACACACACACACGCTCTTATGCACTGACCATGAACAAACTGGTTTGGTTGAATGCAGAACAGACTTCTAAGAATACATTTCAGAAAATACTAAACGTACACAACTGAAGTTGCATCCAGAGATTTTGAATTGCTGCACAGTGAATCTAATGGACATTATATAATTAATGAACTTGATAAAGTCAAGACAGCGGTGTCCCATAAGCATAGGCTCACAATATTAAGGGGAAAGATCCACCTCCAGACAGTTGCACACGATTAACTAAAGCAGTCAGTGATGATGCACGCCATGTTGCACTAGTAGTGCTGTTTTATTGCTTGGTGTGTTTACATTTTCCCTCTAAATACATGATTGGTCACAGATGATGTGACCATCATGTCCTGATATTTCCAGCAGTTACAATGGAGTCAGAAAATATATGAATAATCTAAAACAGCAGTTACTGATTCGGTGGAAACCCCCCAAATCAAAAATGAGGGTTCCTTTCTAGAGCTGTGGGGGTGGGTAAATAAGGAGCGACTTTGGACACAGCCCAGAAAGTTTAATTACACCACAGTTTTCAGAAGGTAGCTGCTGGAAAATGAGATCATGGACTAATTACATCAAGCAACACTGAGGGTGGATTTTTCCATTAATACAGTGCCTTGCGAAAGTATTCGGCCCCCTTGAACTTTGCGACCTTTTGCCACATTTCAGTCTTCAAACATAAAGATATAAAACTGTAATTTTTTGTGAAGAATCAACAACAAGTGGGACACAATCATGAAGTGGAATGAAATTTATTGGATATTTCAAACTTTTTTAACAAATAAAAAACTGAATAATTGGGCGTGCAAAATTATTCAGCCCCTTTACTTTCAGTGCAGCAAACTCTCTCCAGAAGTTCAGTGAGGATCTCTGAATGATCCAATGTTGACCTAAATGACTAATGATGATAAATAGAATCCACCTGTGTGTAATCAAGTCTCCGTATAAATGCACCTGCACTGTGATAGTCTCAGAGGTCTGTTTAAAGCGCAGAGAGCATCATGAAGAACAAGGAACACACCAGGCAGGTCCGAGATACTGTTGTGGAGAAGTTTAAAGCCGGATTTGGATACAAAAAGATTTCCCAAGCTTTAAACATCCCAAGGAGCACTGTGCAAGCGATAATATTGAAATGGAAGGAGTATCAGACCACTGCAAATCTACCAAGACCTGGCCGTCCCTCTAAACTTTCAGCTCATACAAGGAGAAGACTGATCAGAGATGCAGCCAAGAGGCCCATGATCACTCTGGATGAACTGCAGAGATCTACAGCTGAGGTGGGAGACTCTGTCCATAGGACAACAATCAGTCGTATACTGCACAAATCTGGCCTTTATGGAAGAGTGGCAAGAAGAAAGCCATTTCTTAAAGATATCCATAAAAAGTGTCGTTTAAAGTTTGCCACAAGCCACCTGGGAGACACACCAAACATGTGGAAGAAGGTGCTCTGGTCAGATGAAACCAAAATCGAACTTTTTGGCAACAATGCAAAACGTTATGTTTGGCGTAAAAGAAACACAGCTGATCACCCTGAACACACCATCCCCACTGTCAAACATGGTGGTGGCAGCATCCTGGTTTGGGCCTGCTTTTCTTCAGCAGGGACCGGGAAGATGGTTAAAATTGATGGGAAGATGGATGGAGCCAAATACAGGACCATTCTGGAAGGAAACCTGATGGAGTCTGCAAAAGACCTGAGACTGGGACGGAGATTTGTCTTCCAACAAGACAATGATCCAAAACATAAAGCAAAATCTACAATGGAATGGTTCACAAATAAACATATCCAGGTGTTAGAATGGCCAAGTCAAAGTCCAGACCTGAATCCAATCGAGAATCTGTGGAAAGAACTGAAAACTGCTGTTCACAAACGCTCTCTATCCAACCTCACTGAGCTCGAGCTGTTTTGCAAGGCGGAATGGGCAAAAATTTCAGTCTCTTGATGTGCAAAACTGATAGAGACATACCCCAAGTGACTTACAGCTGTAATCGCAGCAAAAGGTGGCGCTACAAAGTATTAACTTAAGGGGGCTGAATAATTTTGCACGGCCAATTTTTCAGTTTTTTATTTGTTAAAAACGTTTGAAATATCCAATAAATTTCGTTCCACTTCATGATTGTGTCCCACTTGTTGTTGATTCTTCACAAAAAATTACAGTTTTATATCTTTATGTTTGAAGCCTGAAATGTGGCAAAAGGTCGCAAAGTTCAAGGGGGCCGAATACTTTCGCAAGGCACTGTAGCACTGCTCATTATGTGATTTCTACCATGTGTCTACTGTGTGCCAGGTCAGCCTTTTTACATTACGTCTGGTAATACCTAACATATCTTACATACAGTATTGCTCCTGTCCTCAATACAGTAAGTCATGCAGCAGTGCCAAGTGCTTTCCACCTCATCCTGACAGCTTAGATTGAAACGGGACAGACGAAGATACGAAGCTCCAGCAAGACGCTGAGGACGAGGAACACAAAGTACAGTACGAACATGGTGAGACCCAACATTCGGCTCATCTTCCAGCGACAGGTGGCGATGGAGATAATGACAAAAAGAAGCATGAGAAAGAGCAGCACAATGGTGCAGAACAAGCCGTTGGAGCTGACAGCTACTGGCTCGCCATTGTGGACCAGAGTGTACATGAGCCATGGGACCGGCAAACTAGAACCAGAGGACAGATGTATGTGTTTGTCAGGTTTATAGTTCACACACAGTGTACGTTGAAGTCAGAAGTTGACATACACCTTAGCCAAATACATTTATACTCAGCCTTTCACAACTCCCGACATTAAATCCTATAATCATTCTCTGTCTTAGGTCAGTTAGGATCACTACTTTAATAAAGAAATAAAGTACTTTCTATTGTACTGCATTTGTTTGATGGAAACAGTTTATTACTTGTCAGATTAAGGATTTACATAACATGATAAGATGGTAACACTCCCTGTATTTTCCAACTGATTTCCCAGAAATGTTCCTAATGATTTCCTAATTGCTAGGACACTTCCAAGAAAGGCCTAGGCAATTTGATACCAGTGATAAGGGAAATGGAAAAACATTAAATTGCTAAAGGTATTATGTACCAACTAGTTTATATTCAAGCTTATGTCATTTCTTCTGGCATTTTGCCTTTGTCAGTGAGTCATAGAGAGGCAGACAGGGAATGGGGGAGGCAGAGATGGAGAGAGGGGGAAGATCTGTAACAAATGTCAGCAACTCAAGTTTCAGCTATATTCAAGTTTTAACACAAAACTGGGAAATTGTGTAGGAGATACTGTAGGTGAAAAACAGTAGTCCATTAGTTCATTTGTTTAGACAATATTACATCGTCTGAAACACCAAACTAAGGAATTTGACCCCTCAGGTCCCCGGGTGAACACAGAGAGGCTTTGCTGATCTGTTAATTGAGGAGTGATAACAACAAGCAATACCCATGTCAGTGTTCACCTCCCAACTTATGTCTCATTAGCAACTTAGATATTTGTCCCAAAATGTAAGATCATAATCTGACTACCTTGTTGCCATATTTGACTGTTATATTATGGTGTAGAGGTAAATGAGGTGGTTCATAATGCTTTCTTCAACTTACAAATACTGGCCTGCATTAGTCCCCCGGCAGTTATTTAATACCAGATTTTATATGACCATTTACAGTCATATCAAAATTATCAAGTTCTCTTCTAGTTTCAGCTACAAAATTAATACTGCAGCCACTCACCCCACAGTGATGTCAAAGATATTACTGCCCACTGAGCTCGACACAGCCATGTCCCCCAGACCTTTCCGGGCCACAATCACACTGGTGATGAGGTCAGGGATGGATGTCCCGGCCGCCAGAATGGTCAGGCCCATGATTTCCTCCGACAGGCCCACAGTCTCACCCACCTGTAAAAGAGAGAGGATGAAAACGGATGCCAGTTCAGTAGTTGACATGTCACTGCTGACTTAGTGATTATGGAATCAGAAATGTTTTATTCAGAATCAGAAACATCTGGCCACATCCTTAATGTGGCTGTAAACTGCAGAAGTAATGGATTATTTTAAACCGTTTTTTGTTTTTGTTGTTTCTTTCCTGGTTGGTCATTTTATCAGTTTACCACATCCCCAGCTCAGACCAAAACCAAATTTGTGGCTCCCTCCAGCCCAGCAGCTTAAATCATAATGGCTTTTAACAAAAAACAATCCAAGAGCTTATTGGGGTTTATTCTGAATCGTTATACTTGATGGAAAATCAGTTAAAAATAATCAATATAATCAGTCTGAGTGAAAAATATAGTTACAGTTGTCAGTAAAATGTCAGTAATTTCTTTAATTATTTCAGTTCACGGTACTTTTACCAACCCCCACTTTGTTTTACAGCTTCACTGGCTACAACAATTTCCACACTATATGTTAGGCAAAGTGTCAACCAACCTGGTGAGCCCACCACACCATCAGGTAGGAGAACACGCCGATCCACAGGATGGAGCCAATAAACGTGAGAGCAAAATATTTCCTGGATGCCTGGAAAATACAGAAGTTCAGAAAAACTGCCAGAGAACGTTATGACCTACCATGTAAATATCATTCTTATAATCGGAACTTCATTAGCAACTAAATAACTATAGAGCAACAAGTTCGGGCACAACCTCACCCACTCTCAAGGTGCACAGACAAGGGTAAAAAACTGAAAAACAAAGTGTCTAGAAACACTTGCAGTGTTTTGAGCCATTTTAATGTGAAGACCAACTTATTTTGGCACAGTGTTTCAGCTGTTAACCAACCTAATGCTTCACCTAGCCAGCTTGTTGTATCAAAGTTTTGTTAAATCATTATTAGCTGTAGCCCTAATTGGAATGGATCATTTTATTTGGTTGAAATTACTCTTTAATATCATAATGCATACTACTGGTTAAACTCACCAATTGTAGGGTTACATTAAGATCATTCAACACCAGCACGCTCTTATTAAAACTTCTGGGAACACACCAATTCAAGTTAGACCCTGTGGAATCGAGGGGATCCAGCTGAAAACTTGTGCAGGTCTGGACTGGAGATGTTAACATGGTCTCACTGTGGTCCACTTTAATGATGAGGTGCTGTTTTGCTGGTGTTTACGCAGGTACTCACCAGGCTGCGAACATCAGGCAGCGTGAGCCACAGCGGGAACACGATGGGCAGCAGGAACAGATAGGTGGCCTGCTTGCGCCTGGTTACTGGCCACGCTAAAGACAGTGGCTCATTTTCCTCCTCTTTCTCCTT